CTGCGAGACGGCTGTGGGAGCGGTCACAGTGGGGGGAGCGGGAGCACAAGAGGAAACTCTCTGGCGCCTCCCGGCTGTCGACGCCGTTCCCCTGCCCCCCCGGCAACACCCGGGGTATCTACGCGGGGCACCATCTACGTGGAGCCATGCGGCTGTGGGGGATTCGGAGGAGCGACAGGGCAACAGCAAGCGTGCCGCAGTGCCCTCCGCGTGTGCACCACTTCTGGGAGTGGCCAGTGGTGCAGCAGATCGCGGCCTTCGAGCCCGGACCCATATCCCCCCGGGCGAACATGTGGCTCGCAGAAGCACCGGCAGGGGTGCACCAGTGTGTGTGTGTGGGGGGGGGACGTGGTCAGCCTCGCGGCGCTGTCTGCCAGAGGGAATGTTCACGGGCGGGACTGCGGGTCCCGCAACCCCCCCGCAATCCATACCCCAGCAGCCCCCCGAGGCCCCAGCAGCCCCCCCCCCGGGGGCCTGGAGGTCGCGAGAGCCGTCGTGCGGTGCCGCCGTCGAGACTTCTGGCAGCGGGTTCAGGGCTTTGCAGAGCTCGGCGTGCCCAGGCGCGGCTGGGACAGCGTGGGCCCCGACCACCCCATTCTATCGGTGGTGGGCGGGCGGGCGCCGGTTTTGTGCACAGCCAGTAGGGCTGGGAGAGGAAGGGGAGGGGGAATAGAAGGGGGAGCTAGGAGGACCCCGGTAGATGGGCTATCCCGCTGGGGGGGGAGGGGATAGGCCTGAGGGTTTTTCTTTGTTGGGTCTGGGTGGAGGCCTCGTCTCGCCACAGTTGCGGCAAGGCAGGGGCAGTGGGAGGGCTTTTGAGAGGTCGCTGCTGTAGGGGGCTTGGGAGGGGTCGCAGGTGATTGGTGGGGCTGTAGGGTAGGGACTAGGTGATGCTGTTTGAGTTGTGTCGGTGTGGTGCTGCCTCGAGGCATCCCTAGCCCCCTCGGTGAGCTGATAGCTGATAGCCTAGTCCGTCCTAGCATAGTCCCCGCCACGTGCGCTCAAGAGGTGGTTAGCACGAGTTTCTTGAACCCTGCCCCCGCTCCCCCCCAACGGAGAATCGGGTGAGAGACCGGGTGAGCTTTCTAATAGGGCCTCGTGCCGCAGTAGGGATGGGTCGGGTCTGTACAGGGTTTCCGGGTTTCCTATGTCTTTGTGAACCCTCACCCAGGGGATGGAGAGGAGTCTTGTTTCGTGTTTCAGGCTCAGTGCACAAACTCACGTGGCGGAGCCTTGACCCATGAGAGCATGCACGTGTGACGCCCCCCACCCCCGGGGGGAGCGAGGAGAGCGAGCTAGCAGACCTGCGGCTTTCGGCTGCTGAGGAGGTACCAGAGGCAGAGGGGCCTCGCACCCCTCTCCCGTCCGCGGGAGAAAGAGCTTAGGCGATCTTTCCGTTGGGGCTGGGCAGCAGCGCAGATACACGCAGACACACACAGACATTTACACAGAGCCAAGGCTTTACGGTTTAATTTATGTGCGGTGAGCTGAAGACATAAAAATGACGAATTCGAAACAAGAGGATATTACAAAACGTTTTCTCGAGTCGATGTGTGACGAGTTGCAGAGCTGCATCAGGTGGTTGATAGGTTGATGACTAATAATAGTAACAAGAAGGAAAGGAAAAGGGCCGACCCATATGGACACAGCTGTTTCCCATGCCGTTGCTGGTTCTGTTGGTGGTTAAGTTAGCCAGATTCAGGTATCTTCATTCGTTATTCGAATCCAGATCTATATATGTGATCAAAGAAAAAAGTTAAATGCGGTGATTTTTTGTTTTGCACGACTTCTTGTCACATCAAAACGCTTATCTACAGGACTAACTAAATTGGAGATGGTTGCTGTCCGGATTGGAGAGCAGGTATTGGGCTTGTGTTCGTATTCCTGGAGGTTGCTGAGCTCAGATGTGCATGACCCATCCCGTGATCCGGAAGCATTGTCGTACAGGATGTCGTACATATCCCTCTCCCTCTGTTCTACCTACCGTTTCCACGTCGTGTTCCCAGGGGGGGGCCCGATTGGTGCAGTGAAAAAGGAAATGCGCGCACATGCATGCCACAGAAACTGTGTGGTTGTGGGCAGCTGTGCAAATCACCTTGTGCTTGTGCGTCGATGTGTGTGTATGTGCGTGCGTGCGTGTATACACACACATGTAAGTGCATATGATTTAGGGGCAAGGCGAGTGGTAGGGCTTCTGAAAGAGGTTCAAAGCTGTGTGTGTAATCTATTGTATGTTTGTATGTATGTTGTTACAGGGTGGTATAGCTTCACCAGCGGCCCCCTTTCCCGAGGCAGTTCCCTGCTCTCCCCTGCGAGAGGGGCACCCTAATCCGTTCACCCCATCCGACTTCAGAATGTATTCGATGGGTTCGGCAACTCACCACCAGCATCCAACCAAATCTAGCGGATCAACGGCGCCTCAACTTAGTTCCTGGTCAGCTCGCAAGTTGATGTTATCACGTCCTACACCGTCCACAAGATGGGGGGCCACCTCCCAATTCAACACTCCCCAAACACCCGAGGAGTCGGCAGGCAGATTTGAACCCGGACCCTGTATGTATGTCGTTACAGGGTGGTTATGAGTTATGCTCAGGTCGAGTCACCCTCCAGTTTTGAAGCGCGATCCTGCCTACCTTAAAACTAAGGGAATGGCCATGTTGGTGCCAGGCCCCCCGTCAGTGAATTCTGCTGCAATATTACTTAATCAATCCATTTGCCTCAATCGGCAGCTATCTTTCGAAACCACCATGGTGTGGATTAAAGCATACTAACACTAAGCCTCCTCCTTCCATCCCCATCTACGTCTTCACATCCGCTACCCGCTCCGATAGACTGCCGCCTATCCTCCTAATTAACCACCGCTGCAGCAGAGCAGTAGCCGCCTTCACGCTTCCGTTTCTTGCACCCCCGCCGTTGCGTTGCTTTCCGCCTCCTGTTCCTCCTTCTCCTCCTCTTCTTCCCCCTCCTCCTCCTCCTCTTCCTCCTCCTCCTCTTCCTCCTCTTCCTCTACCTCCACCGCTTCTGCACGGTCCGAAACCAGTTGTGGGGTGGCCAGCCGCCAGCGCCTATCCAGAAGACCGCAGTGAACGGGGTCGCTACCGTCATCGCCATCACCACTGCCGCCACTAAGGGCGGCGTCCGCAGCCTCTGCCGCTCCTGAACGTCCTCCGGTGGCGCTGAGGGGGCTGGGGGGCAGCCCAAGCTCCCGGGCCCAGCCCAGCAGCAGCTGATCGATGAGGCTAAGCACCCGGCCCGTACTGAGAGAGAGAGAGAGAGAGCGCCGCGAGAACGTTCCGCAGTCAAGCCAGCGGCCAACAAGCGGTTCAGCAGGGGAAACAAGTGCGGTTCAGAGGTTCGGCCATGGCGCCATGCATCATATGGGAGTCGAATGGCTCACCATCCGCGATGCTTTTTGAAACCAACCAGCTAATTAAGTAATTGATTAAGTAATTTGATTAATCAACAGATTAGTAGAGGTTCTTGGAGGGTATTGATAGATATTCACTGACCCCTCTGTCCCCTGCTTTCCCTCTTCCTTTTCTATTCCTGCTACTGCGTAGTTGCACCATTTCTTGTAAATTATCTGTACTGTGTGTCCGTACAGTTTCCCGCGTTCTCGTACTGCATATCCGTACGCTGTAATCCCCGCCCGCACCTGTACAGCTGCCTGTCGGGATCCTGCCGCGGCAGCACCTCTCTGAGCAGATGCTCATGGCGACATCGGGTCCGGTCGTACTTCAGTCGCTTATAGACATCGTCGCTAGTGCGCTTGTGAACCTGCGCGCCGTAAAACGGGGCAGCAGGACAGAGGCGGTGGGTAAGGAAAACTGGCCTAGACACACACATACATACATACATACACACATACATACATACACACATAAATACATACACACATACATACATACACACATACATACATACACACATACATACATACACACGCGACATATTTCTCTTTTTCCCCTTTTCCATTCTGTCATTGTTCACAGATCATTAAAACACGCACTGCCAAGTACGACACATGTTGCTACGTACGACACATGTTGCCAAGTACGACACATGTTGCCAAGTACGACACATGTTGCCGCGTACGCGTACCTTCGCCAGCGTTACGTCCCAGCCCAGCCCCTGCTGTATGATGAGGTCCTCCGCCTGCTCCCCAGCATCCAGGTCCAGCACCAGGTCGAACTGCAGCAGCAGCTGCCGGGCCACCCGCAGGTGTTCGGGACCGATACCGCCCAGGGGGGTGTGGAACGCAGTCTCACCCACGAAGGACCTGAGAAGCAGTGGGGGGGAGAGGGAGAGGGAGGGGAAACGTACGGAAAGTACGGAAAAAGAAGGTGCCCGAGGGTAAAATAATAACTATTAGACGGCACACTATACCACAAAGAGCAGTATGGGGTCTGGGGGGCCCTTTAGGGGTGTGATTCGGCGTGGTAGATGAAATTCATTTTTTAAGAAGGCCGTTTAGCAGACCGTTTTTGATAAGCACGTCTTTGATAATATAATAAGAATTTCCAGTTGGTAAACTACACAAAACGCACCGAGCATTCTTCGCCAATAGCTGCAGCTATATAGTACAAGGCTGGCGATGACATTAATTATAGTCATATTTTTAAATAACGCTGGTCAGCTTTAGAGGCTGTCATGGGCAAATTGCGACTGTGCGACTTTTGTGCCGCAATCCGCAAATGTGCATTCGCCGGAATCCGAACCTCTTCGAATTGCACTGCATGTGAACACACATTTACACAGGATTACACAGCATTACAAATAATTACACGCGTTCTAGCTTCGTGTTTCTCTATTTCTCATTTCACGCGTTTAGTTGATTTCAGCTTGTCGCGATTCTTCGTCTTTCGGTCAAACACAAAACACCTACACGCACCGTACCTCTTCACCATTTCCATATTCGCGGCTCAGATCATTAAAACATACATAGTATATAGTGTTTTTCATTTCTGCCCGTCAATTTTCCAGTCCGAACGGAGGAATAGGTTTTTAGTCGCGGGAATAAAAGTATTCCGAATCTGTAAGGCGCTGGGGGGGGTGCTCCGCCCCCCGTCCGATTCCTCGTTGACTTTCGGGCGTGACCTTCCTAACAGGATCCATGGCATTGAATTACTATGATATGGCTAACATGTATGGCTCCTGTAAGATTCTAGCGGCTTTGGCATGGACAGTCCATTTTTGGCTTGAGGAATGAACTTGTACGGTCGGAACATGATTTATTCTTAATTTTCAGGACCACAAACAATTTCTTATTCCGAATTCGGAATATATTCCGCAAAAAAAATGCTGATACATACAACATACAACATGCATACATGCATACATACATACATACATGCATAAATATACGCATACGGCCGTCGCGCACCTGACGTTGTAATTGTCCATGATAGCGGGTGAAAGCTGCTGAAACATGGTCACATTGTCGCTGCAAAAGACACCATGGAAGAGGTCCCTCCCCTCCCTTCGAGAACGGCGCGCCAGTCGACCCTTGATGTGCGCCAACATGAAATGCAGGTGGGATATCAGGCGCGCCTCGGGACTCCTGCAGGTCCCACCCCGGCGGCAACCCGTTTGCGAGAGCAACCACCGTAAGAGCTGTCTGGGTAAGAGCTTGCATGGGGTTGCATGCATGCATGGGGTTGTGTATTCACGGCGAAAGAGAAATCTCGATATCCCGCAGGCCGCCCTCAGGCCGACCTGGCTTGCTTCAGCGCTCCCCCTGTATCCCCATTAGGTCCTGTCCGTTATCACAACGACCACAGACGACCCCAAAACGGCCCTTCCCCCAAACACACAATAACACACACACACACACACACACACACAATAACACACCTCAGCGTCACCACATTGACCGCCTGCCGGCATACATGCACCCCCGCCATGGTGCCCACGCCGCCATGGAGAGTGTACTCGTTGGACAAGTATTCGAAGCCGCTTGCCGTCACATTGGCAATGCGCCGTTCGCATCCCGCTATGCCCGTTCGTTCCACTTTGCCGTACATGGTCCACCTTTGGCAATTCATACAGAAGAGGAGAGGTCCCGGGGGGGAACGTACGTGGGCTCTTCTATTGGGGGAAGCAGCAGCAGCACGATGTGAGCAGATGTAGTAGCAATCAGTAGTTGCAATCAGCGATTGTCCGTTCGAAAGCTTTGTCTTTTCAGCCCGCTACCGCTACCCGAGGGGCGGGACGGGACGAAGGAAGAGGAGGAAGAAGGGGAAGAAGGGGAAGCATGGAACAGGAACAGGTTGCGAAGGAGAAGGAAGGGGGCAGTAGGACGCCCAAGGGGGGAGGTGCGCAGTGATGCAGTCCATTGGTAACAAGTTACAAGTTGTTACAAGTTCCGCACGCACACAAGTGCGGGTGTGTGTCCGTAAAAGCCGGGGGAGGGGGCCATGGTGACGTTGTATTGGTATTGATGTGGGTATTGACGCGGGAGGTCATCTCTTCAACGATACGGGGATGCGCAACCTTACACGCATCAAAGATCTAGCAGGGCCGTTGGGCGGTTGGAGAAGTTGGGGCGTTAATCGGTTGGTTGGTTGGTTGGTTAAACAGTTAGGTTAGAATTATGAGGCAAGCAGGCAGGCTTACATCATGGTCACGCCGGTAAGCTCTTGAAACACGGTTCTGTTCATCCAATGCGGCAAATCGCCGATATACAGCGGCTGTCCGATACCGCCGGACATCTTACATTTGTTTATTCCTGTAGCAGAATATAGTGTTATTAATATTAGTTGGCAGCAGATTCATGTTAATATGGTGTAGTCTGTGTGGGGGTTAGCCGTAGTTACAAGGGGGCTACAAGTACCGCATGAATGGGGGGTGTTGGTCCGTAAAAGGCATAAGGGGGCCCATGGACGGTCAACTGCCATCATTACTAAAGTGGTAGTAGGCTTAATTGTTTGCGTGGGCTAAATGCAGGCATGGAGTAGGGATGGAATAGGGAGCTAGTGGACTAGGGCTGAGCGCGTTTGGTATGTATGTATGTATGTACGTAAGTACGTGCGTATGTATGTATGTACGTACGTACGTGCATATGCATGTATGTATGTATGTATATGTACGTACGTACGTACGACAGCCGCAACCAGCAAATGCTGTCGGGCTCCGTTTCCTCTCCGTTACCTCTCCCTTTAAGATCCCTTTGTTTTGTTTCCCCACCTCCTTCACCCAGACATTCCCCCCCTCCCCCTTCTTCCCCCTTTCTCTCCTACTCACTGGCAGCAGCACTGAAGCTCGTGCCACCGCTCTTGCTGATGTGGAGATAGTCCAACAGATCTTTGCGCAGTACGGATCGCACGTGGTCGCCGTACAACTGCCGCGGAGGGAAGCGGTACAGCGCAGCGCAGTGCAGAGGGCTAGGGTTTGCGATCAGCTATTGCGTATCAGACTGATGAACTTGTGCTTTGTTTTGTGCTGTTGGAATGCAAGGAGGTGTTGGATTAGAAGTTTGCACTCTACCCGCTCCATCGTTAGATGCAAGCTTCCCGAACTAAGCATTTGCGCAAGATCTCCATAAAATGACACACAACTTTGTTATGTACTCGGGCAACGCGAAAACTACATGATTTACGGCTTGCTACAGCCCGTCGCGCCCGCCATGGCTGGGTAGTTCAGGGCTAGGCTGCGTACCTGCTTGGCAACATGCGCAAAGAAGGATTCGAGCTCCTCTTGACGAACATCCTTTCTGAGATTCTTCCTATGCAGGATGATACAGGCAAGTACTAGCCTCCGCCCCAAAATAGATAAAATAGGCTCATGCTCCGCAAAGTGGCCAAGGGAGCCCAGGGATGCCTGCACGGCCTGCATTAAATGGCTCGCGCTGCCGTTGCTGCAAACATCATTGAGCGGTTTCCAAAGCTCTTGCACTTCTGCAAGTTGCTGCACGCTGGGCTCCTGGTGGGCAACTGCCTGGGAAACGTTTACAATAAGTCGTAACTGATCATCGTAGTGCGAGCAGTTTTTGGTAATATTCCAGAAATAGCTCTGTAAGGGAACGCCAGAGTTGGTCGTCAACGCGGTGGACGTCAACGCAATCACTGCGAAGACGACGACCGAGAAATAGGCAACCATAGCACACCTCTAAAGACACAAACGGATATTATAAACATTAGAATAAATTATGCACCTGCCTGCGTTAAAAAATTGGGGTTTCCGCGCCTGTCTGTCTCTTTGAAGTTGCCTTGGGTATATCGCTGCCACCGTTCAGCATAAGGCCCGCACGTGGCTAATAGAGTCGCGCAGGAATCAACAGTTAACCACAATAATAATTTAAGTATCTCTTTCAAGTGTTGCAAAGTGGGTGGCTTCTGGGCAGCATCCTCATGTGTCAGCCCACAGCGGATATCTATCCGTCTCAAGGGACGCACATGCGACCAGGACCCAGAAAAGTCGCCGTCGCCATGCGTATATCGCACTCTTTGAACTCGAGCTGGACGCGCTTCCAAGACGACCATACTCGGCCCGTCCCACGGTCCCGTGGCCGCTCTTTCCGCCGCAGCCGGGGCAGCCGCTCCACCGCAGAGATGCAGCTCCCCATGTCTGAGCTTACAGCAGCCGCAATGGCTGCTGATATGGCTGCAACAGCGACATGACATGAGCTCGCACGGGTTGGGGGCACTTCACTCTGGGGGGGGCAAGTTTCCCTTTCCTTTCCCTTCCCCTTTGGTGTCCTCGCACCAGCCCGGGTGGCACCAGCCCTGGTGGCGACCAGCCCGGGGGGCGACCAGCCCGGGGGGCGACCAGCCCGGGGGGCGACCAGCCCGGGGACGACCAGCCCGGGGGACGACCAGCCCGGGGGGCGACCAGCCCGGGGGGCGACCAGCCCGGGGGGCGACCAGCCCAGGGGGCGACCAGCCCGGGGGGCGACCAGCCCGGGGGGCGACCAGCCCGGGGGGCGACCAGCCCGGGGGGCGACCAGCCCGGGGGGCGACCAGCCCGGGGGGCGACCAGCCCGGGGGGCGACCAGCCCGGGGGGCGACCAGCCCGGGGGGCGACCAGCCCGGGGGGCGACCAGCTGGTGCTGTTGCTGTTGCTGAGGACGGGAGTTCACAAGGAAGGGAGACCAGCTACAGACCCCCTGCTACAGCCGTTATGGTGGCCTCGCATGGCATTGTTCGTGAAAGTGCCAATCGTGACACGGCTAGTAGTACATACATGCATATATACATACATGCATGCATACATACGTACATACATATATGTACATATTTGCACCATGGACCATTGCCCCCGGGAGATCCCGGGATCGATACCCATTAGGGTCAAAGTCCTTCCGATGGTGGAAGGCATTGCGCCCCTAGTTGATGGACGGTGGTGACCTGGGATAAAGTTAACCTGCGAGCCGACCAGGAACGGTGTTGGGCCGCTGTCGACCCGGCAGATTCCGTTGGATGCTGGTGGTGGGTGCGGAACCTAAGCGATCCACTGAGACGTTGACTAGGGTGACTGGATGAGGGTGCCCCGAAATACCGGGGAAGGCAGGGTTTCGCAGGGTAGCTGCCACGGGCGAAGATACACCCCCCTGTTTCACACATCATATTTGCATCATGTAAGACTCTCTCCGCCACAGGACTCTCTACAAGACTCTCCACCAGGCTTAAACCCATCCTAGGGCCCCCGGGGGTAGGAGCCTGTCGTTATGAAACCAGGACATGGCATGTGTTACCATGTACATAACACACATACACACACGCATACACACACACGCATACACACACACACGCATGCACACATGCACGCACACGCACACATGCACGCACACACACATGCACGCACACACACACGCACAGGTTTCTAGGTTAAACCTATGACTTGGGACTTTAGGTGTCCTGGATGTCTGTGGTAGTCAGTTCTAGCCGCTAACCTTACCCAGTCACCCATCATCATCGCTTCAGCACTAAAGCACCTCCGCTTATTCCTACACCCCTTGACACGACCTACGCCCCTCCTCAGCATCTACTTTAAAATTTTAAAGCTAATGAAATACGTCGCTGGTGACTACGGAGCTCGCGTCCGTGTACCACCATCTGCATTTCCCTCGTCGTGGCTCCGAAGATCATTAGAAAACACACGGACACACGCGTGCGTGTGCGCGACAAAAAACATACATATGTACATACACGGCAGGAGAGACACCTGCGGGTGTTTCATTGGACTTAGTCAAGGAAGCGCACAGTCATCAAGCGGCACCACTGGCACTTGCTGCTATAGCTATAGGTGTTATCCTCCTCCCATCCGACACACATGTACACATGTACACAACTCGGGATGCACTGCATTTTATTTATATTTGGTACAAGTTCTGGTACAAGTTTAAACACTGCTGCGCCCCTCATCCACACAACCTCTGCTAAGGCCCATGCCGTTGTTGTTGTTGTTGCGTGTTCCTGAAGCATGTTCCGAGAGCTGACCCCCCCCCCGACCGCCGCCTCTGCTGCAACTGCCCTCACCCTCAGTACAGTCTGCTGCTCTTCCGCTCTCTAATGTACAACACCTCCAGAAGGTCAATAGTAGTACGGCATCTCTCGGGGTGTACGGTACAGATATGTCAGGGGGAGTTGCACAACGCACAGCAGCCCGCACTTTCCTCACTTCTGAACAAAGCCCCCGAAAGAAGGCCCCGAGCGGCCCCGGGCTCCCAAACCCCACCACCGCCCATCACCGCTACTGCGCCCCCCGGCCCCCGCCCCCCATGACCACGACCCCGCGCAGCAGGTGCAGCAAGTGCCGTACATTACATCCCCCCCGCTCCCGTCATGCCGTACCCGGCCTGCTGTTTCCACCCCCCGATGATGTGCCCCCCAATGCCCGTTGCGTGCCCTTCTTCAGCTGCTGCAGCTGATTATTCCGCCGGCCGTCGCGGCCCTAAATGCACCAGGCCGCACGAAGGCGCGTCACTGGCATCTGTATCTATATCTGTGGTGGTGCTGTCCGTGTTGAATGCGGCGGCGGCGGCGGCGGCGGCAGCTGACTCCTCCTCCTCCTCGGCAGCGGCGAGGGTTTCGGGTCGCAGCCCCATCACACGCGAGACCTCCAGGAAGACCGCGTCCAAGAACGCCAGTGTACGGCCCGTACTGCAGTACATCAATAGCAGTACGGATGCAGCAGCAGCAGCGGGGAATGACGAAGTGGTGGAAAGGGCGGCAGCGGCAGCGGCAGCAAACACACACTCTATGAACAGCAGCACATTTTGGCAAAGTTTGTAGCAAGCTGCTGCTGGTGCTGGTGCTGCTAGTCCCTTCCAGCCCCCACCTACACAAGTAGTGCCGCTTCCTGGCACTCCTCGCATCCAATGAGTCTAGAAGAACCCCAAGTTCAACACCTCCAACAACAACCCCTCCCTCCCCCCCCCCTCCAATCCGCACCTGTATAGCTCCCTGTCGGGGTCCTGCCGGGTTAGCAGCACCCGCAGCAGCTCGGCATTGGGACAGTCCTCCTTGCTGTAGTTGAGCTTGGCGAAGGTCGCGGAGGAGCTCCGCACATGAAGCTGTGTGTATGTGTATGGTGTGCACGTACGTATGTAAGTGCGTATGTAAGTATATATGTATGTATGTAAGTATGTATGTATGTGTGTGTGCGTCATAGGAAAAAGCAAGGCAGCTGGGTTGCGTGTTGTAGGATTAGCGATTACATATTAGGAGAATGAAACAAAGCACACACAGCTGCGCAAACGCTGCGGATGCCGGTGCCGCTCTACGTGCTCCCTGTGTAACAACAAGCACAGAAACAAGGGAGGGACACACATACACATACACACATACACATACACATGCACGTGTATATCTCAAACAACCCCCCTCCCCCGCCTCACCTACCCCTCCCTCCCCACCTTCGCCAGCGTTACGTCCCAGCCCAGCCCCTGCTGTATGATGAGGTCCTCCGCCTGCTCCCCCGCATCCAGGTCCAGCACCAGGTCGAACTGCAGCAGCAGCTGCCGGGCCACCCGCACGTGTTCGGGACCGATACCGCCCAGGGGGGTGTGGAACGCAGTCTCACCCACGAAGGACCTGAGAAGCAGTGGGGGGGGGAGAGGGAGAGGGAGGGGAAACGTACGGAAAGTACGGAAAAAGAAGGTGCCCGCGGCACTACTAATTAAAAACTATTGGTTAGTTAACCTGCACACACAAAGAGAGCAGTGTGGCGGTGGCAAGTGTGTCACACCACCGGGCGTTGTCCCACCACCGCCGCCGCCGCTTTTACCGCCACTGACAACAAGAACAGGAACTACACACGACACTGCTGCTGCTGGTGGTGGTGGTGGTGGTGGTGGTGGTGGTGGTGGTGGTGGTGATGGTGGTGGTGATGGTGGTGGTTGTGGTTGTGGTGGTGGTTGTGGTGATGGTTGTGGTGATGGTTGTGGTGGTGGTGGTGGTGGTGGGTAAAACGGCGCTTCCATTCTCACTCTCACTATCCCCTTCTTTCCTCTCTCCCTCCCTTGGCAGTGCCGTACACTGACCGACCTACGTCCCCACCCGCACCCGCACCCAACCACCAAGTCAACCACCCAACTGTGATCCAACCAACTCATCACACACACCCCAAACCACCATCGCACCCAGAGCCGCGTGCCGTACACGCCCATACCTGACGATGTAGTTGTCGATCACAGTGGGCGCTACCTGCTCCCATACACCCAGATCTCCCGAGCAGAAAAGCTCAAAAAACCGCCCCCCGCCCGGATCGTCCTCGAGCGCGATACGCTTCTTGATTCGGGCCAGCATGTAGTGCAGGTGGGAGGTCAGGCGGCCGGCGGGCTCCCTGGCGAGGCGGATCCGCCAGGAGGCCGAGAAGAAGGTTACCAAAAAATGATATAATAATAATAATAATAATAATAATAATAATAATGCATTTACGTATGTATGGAAGCCGGCACGACTGTATAGGTATGTATGGTCACGGTAGGAAACATGTATATATACGTGAGTGCGCGTGTTCCGATTTCCCCAAGACCCAAACTAACCATCATTTATATTGTTTTGTGTAATTACGCTAAACAATACAATAAACACAGCGCAGCCCCCGCTCTTTATTGTATATGGTGTATGTACACATATGTGTGTGTGTGTGCGACTGCGCATGTTATGGTACGGTACGGTAGCGGGCCAGTAGTTGGCGGGTTGGGCGCCAGCAGCAGTCCACCCCTCCCCCCCTGCCCTCGCACACACCACCCCTCCCCTTTTCCCTCCCCTCCTCTTTTCTTGGCATCAGCTTCACTCGTTCGTGGTTCGTCTTTCCCCCACCCTCCTCCCTCCTCCCTCCTCCCAAGCCCCGCACACGCCCCACCTCATAGTAACCACATTGACCACCTGCGGGCAGATGTGTGTGTTTAACATGCTACTACTGCTACTGCTACTGCTACTGCTGCTACTGCTGCTCCTCCTCCCGTCGGTGGCCTCCGAGGCGCCGTTGCCGTCCACATTGCCGCCACCGCCGCCACCGCCACTGCCACCGCCACCGCCGCCGTGCAACGTGAATTCGTTCGACACGTAGTTATATCCCCGTGCCGCTATATGAGCAACCCGCCTGCTACAGCCTTGGCCCTCGTCCGGCCGCCCGTCAGTGCTGTAGTACGACCACCTGAGTGCGGGTAAGGTTAGTGGGGCCGCGGGGGGGGGGGGGGAAAGACGAACCACGTGAACGAGTGAAGCTGCTGCCCCAGGGCAAAAGAGTGTACCAGAAGTAGAACTGACCGAAAGGGCCGGGGTGGAGGGGGGTGGGAGAATGGGGGAAAAGCGTGTGGTGTATGTACATATTGTGGCGGTGTGTGGTTGTGTATGTATGTATGTATGTATGTATGTATGTATGTATGTATGTAGATATGTAGATATGTATGCCCCACCAACACCAACCACTACTCGACAAAAACCTCTTTCCAGTCGCTATTGCTGCTCTTCCCACTGACTGACTGACTGACTGACTGACTGACTGACGGCTGCGTCCTGTGTATAACCCCGGTGGCCTTGGCGAGCTCAACCTAACCCAGTGTTCCCCCCACATACACACACACAGACAGACAGACGCACAGCGCAACACGCGCATGTCCCCTCCTTCCCGTCCCGTCCCCGCCAAAAGTGCCCTCCCCCCGCCCTATTTGCACACGACTCCCTCCCCCCGCCCTATTTGCCCCCTCCCCTCCCCCTCCCCCTCCCCTCCCAGTTATCCCGTTGCCTCCCCCCCTTCCCCCCTCTCCGTCCGCCTCCTCCCGTCTTCTCACATGATGTCATTTCCGGTAATGTTTTCAAAATGCTGTCCCACTATCCATCGTGGCAGGTCTCCTAGCGCCTCTAACTGCCCAATGCCACGAGACATCTTGCAGCGTGCTTTGGGGATCC